AACGTTAAGAGAAGGCAAAAAGAAAGCCGAGCGTGTCTGATGATAAAGAAGTCATCCTTAAGCAAAAGAAGCACTGTGTTGGACGTAGGCATGCACATCCACGTGATCTTAAGACAGATTTAATTGATAATTGTATTTTCTAGACTAGTGAAAAATTTCTTCACTTTACTGACTTAGTGTACAAACATTGTTTCTATTTATAGAAAGGCGTACAGGAAGCCAGAATTTTTTCAAATTACAGTTCAAGAGCAATTCTGAAATATTCTAGTCTTGAGGACATATAAATTAAGGTGACCACATTTTCATCGAGACAAAGCGGGACAAATGGAATGAAATGGAATTGTAATAGTTATGGCAGCAGCATAATTAAAAAATAATATATTTTATTTTAGACATTCATTTACATAATAAATATATATAACAAAAATAATATTTGTAAATAACTATTGGTAATTTGATTATTATGTTTTTATTAATTTAAAATTTTATTTAAACAATATGGTTATCTTTCACGGTCATATTTTTTATCCGAGTGAATTTTCAATAGATTCGGATCATTTATTAAAATACGTGAAATTTCCACAGAATTGGTTAAATATATTTACGCTAATACATATGTTTAAGTTTTTTAATGTTCAACTGCGTTTTCCTCAGTTGTCATATTTTATGATACTAGAAGAAAACATGTTCTATTTCTGCATTTTTCCGGAAAAAAGCGCATGTCTACAATTTTCAAATATTTTTATAAGGAATATATTCTCTTTAAAAATGAAGACTCCTCCGTTTTTTTGTCTGTTTCCACATTTGGCAGACAACGAACATTAATTTTTTCTTCAGTCACGACGAGTAAATTTAAAAATGACACCTCATCAAAAAAATCATTTCCGCAAATATTATATTTCGGACACTTGTTACTAATACTATATTAAAAAGATCTTTCCACATATTTCCATAAAATCTCCTTTTTTAATGTCACCTAATGAAAATTTTGAATATCCTCGAAATGAACTGTCTGTTCTTCAAGATATTCCAAGCAGTTATCATAAAAATTTCTGACTTCTTTCGGAAAATCAGGTCGTTTAATGGCACCTTGTTCTTCCAACCTAGTGATGTCCTTTCGAATAATTAAAGGAGTGTAATCGTTATCAATTCTTTCTCGCAATTTTATTTTTAAATTATTAATTTCATTTGACACTTCCATAATTGAAATTTTGTCCCCTTCAATAATTTTCACAGCATTGTTAAATAATGTAGCGTGGTTGTGGATCAACTGATGCCAAATTTGTTATGTGACATTTTCAAGAAAGAGCTGCAATATTCTTGGACATTTATCTTGTGATAAAAAGTATGATTTCAATGGTCCGTATATTTTTAAAATATTTTCTACAGTTAGTAAAAGAGCTAGCCATCGTGTTTTGCTGTAACCAATAAATCTTTTATATTCGATTTCTGCGCTTTCACAAAAATCCTTCAAACTTTCAACACGCACAGTGTATATACATAAAAATACGAATAATTTTTGCATTAATATTTTCAAGATCTACTGGAAGTAACTCAGATGCTGTTTGAATAGTACTGTGTAGAATGTGCGCTGCACAACTTACCCCAATAATTTATTGGTTCAAATGTTCGTTAAGTTTCGTAAAAACGTTTTTGATGCCTCTTCTAGCTTTTCCGCCAAAATTTGCATTAGTGTTATCCTCACAATAGGCAATAATATTATTCTTCAAATTATTATTTTTAAAATAGTACTTATTGAATCAAAAATTATTTGTGAAGTTTCACCACGCAATGAACCAAAATCTAATATTCTAATTTTAATTCCTGTTTCTGTATAAAAAAATCTAACAGTTGTGGGAAATAATATTAAATCTTTGTGGTTGGAAGCATCATAATATATGGATATATATGTGCATTTAATCTAATTCTTTCTGCAATTGTGAAAACGAATACAGTGGAAAAAACATTACAAATAATTGCTTCGGTTTTGGTCCTTGCAAATGCAAATTTTTTTTCGTACAATATTTTGATCATTTGCGACATACAATCAATTGATCTGAAACTTTGATTGTGCTTTATGGTGTGGAAAGCAATTAGCCCATCAGCTAATGCTAGCTGTTCCTCCGTTAACAATACCTATTCCTTGACGAGACATAACGTTAATGATCGAACACCATCGAGTAAATCTAACTCGTTACATCGCCTGATTTAGTTTACTCTGCATGCATTTTATGTGTTTTTTCATTTATGTATTTTTTATTTTTTTATATTTACTATAATAATTAATAAATAATAGGTAATATATTTTTACAGTACATTTAAAGTAAAAATTGCAGATGTTTTTTAAAAAGCGGGACATTTTTAAAAATCGGCGGGGCGCGGGACAGTCCTCCAAAAAGCAGGACTGTCCCACCAAAATCGGGACGTGGGGTCACTTTAATATAAATACGCTTTTCTATGAGAAAAGATTTAATAGAGTTTGGAAGACTGCCCCAAAAGCAATATTATCTTGTAGTGGCCCAGTTATTGCATGAGAAATAATTATTTTTTATTTCATATATTTGTTCATGTGTTTAATTATTTTATAAAATTAACTTTAATATTTTGTTAATATTCATATTTATATTTCTTTTATGCTGAATGCCAATAAGTAGTTCATATTTATATTTAAATTTCTTTATGCTGAATGGCAACTAGTTCTAGTTCTGATTCATGATTGCTAGGTTTTGGTTTCAAAACGTTGCTCGTAGCGTCGCATTTCGATAGCTGGAAAATAAAATGCAATAACTTAGCTATTTGTTTATAATTCATGCTGTTACTAGTCATAAATTAATTTTAAACATTAGTAGCCAAGGCTACAATCTAATGTTTCATTCTTCTGCTTATGCGCGTGCCATAAGGAAAATTAAATTGAAGGATGGTTTGCAGTTGTTGTAGAAAACCTGATTTGGATTAATGTAAATATTATGTGATTATTTAAACACAGAACTATGGTGTTTTAAACTTGAAATTTGTAGTGTCATTTTGCTATTCAATAGCAATTATTTTAAACAATTTTAGTTTTTAAAAGTAAAAAAAAATTGCATAAAACTCAAACATTTTTCAGTTTATTGCCTTTGTAATTTTACTTCCAAGCAAAATCTACAAACACCAATATGAACTATATTTATTTAATTCTTAGCACTTTATTAATTCTCAATCTTTTATTCAAAAATAACAAAGGCAGAATTTTCATAAAAAAAGTGAAAATGGATTCCGATAAGAACTTAGCGGATGCGATCAATTTCCCTATCTTAATGACCGCCGTAGGGAATTAAGTGGGAATATGATGATATCTAAAAATGTCTCTCGCGTGCACCAGTAATGTAGCCAATCATGTTCTCGAAGGATCTATGCAATCTGCAGTGTGGCGCTGCAATCGTTTGTTTTGCAGTTTTGATGTGATACGTCCACCAGTGTTAACTTTGTGTGTTTGTGCTTGCGAAATTAGCGATTTTTGTTGGCATTTATTGATTTGGAAGCCGCTGACGATGATTTTATTTCCTATTTTGTATCACAGCAAGCTGAGCTTGAATTGTGACATTCTACATTAATAATATTTTTGCGCAAAAGTGTGTGCGACATGCCAGAGTTCTGCATCTTCTGCAGGGGTCAGTAGATTTTTCCGTTTTCCTTAGCACATTTAAATGACTTGTGGCGCTTTTTTAATGTTTTGTGCTTCATTCACTTTGCTTTGCTTAAAAAGTGAGCTATTTCCTTATAAAGAAAATCTTCTGAGGAGGCATTCACACACGGTAAATAAATTTCTGTTTATTTCTATAAAATATCAGTACTTCTGTAAATGTTAGCTTCAAAAATATTTAATGCGATATACCAAAATTAAATTCTCTAAATTGTGAGAAAACAATTATGAACATTACTATTTTCTGTAAATAAATTACACAATTTTGTGTAATTAATTGTATAATGAGAAGAATTTTTTTTAAAATTTTTTGTCATGTGGCAATTAATTCAGCAGATAATTTATCCGAATTTTAGTTGAAAAACAGATTCCTTTTATTGTCCAAGATTTCATTGTATTGTTTACATGATGCTTTAAATATGCATATTAACTTGATGCCTTTTTTTTTTTTAAATACTGATATGTCGTAAAAGAAAATCCTTTCTTTAAAAGTAAATTACAGTAGAATTATTACGACTCTTTCGTCTGATTCAGTTTTAGATGAAAAATTTTCTGCTAATCATGAATATTTCACATTGTATGCTATTAATTTTCATGTAATGATGTAAAAATCAAAAACAATCACCACGTAGTTTTCAGGTCGTTTGACACAGCTCTGTTTGCTTTTTGCACTACCCAGAGCGATTAGATGTAACTTAAGTTTCTGTAATTCCACATTTCTTAAAAATACTTATTAAATATCCTTTTTCTTCATCATCCGCCTGGAACGTCTTCCGAGTTCATGATAGAATTGGCACTGTTTTGAAAAAAGTTTGGCGAGTTTAAACCAATTAAATTCCATTAACCGGCGTATTATCAGATCGGGCAGATTTTAAATTTATTCCATGAAATATTTATCGCCCTCTTTTCTCGCCAAATAGTTGCCAATGATATAATCAACGAAAGATAAATTAAGCATTGATTTACAGTATATATTTTTTTAAATATTTGTTTGTTTTACAGTTATATATTTATTAATCAAAAGTAGTTATGGTTCTTTTATGTAAGAAAACATGAAGTGCCTAATTTAGAGATTAAACATAGGTTCTTTTTATGACATTTAATTTAAAGACTAGTAACTAGAGGGAACAGCTTTAGTATTGGTCCTTTTGGCGACTTTTGTATTTGGCGACAAACTTTGGTCGCCAAGGTAGACCCGGTTTTGAAGATCGGAAAAAAATGGCGGATTGTTAACAAAACCCGATCTAGACTAAATAACAATCCTAAAAAATAAGCTCTTAATCAGAATAAACAGTCTTTCTCTGATTTTCAGTATTTCTAGTACTGCTATGATAAATTCTTGAAACACTACTGTAAATGAATTTATGACAATTATTATGTTATGAGTAATGAAATTTACAAAATGTTAATATTTTTAATTACAAATATAATGTATTAACATTAATATTTTAAGTAGTTAGTTCATATTTATTTTATTATATTAGTACTTAATATTTTTACAAAAGGTTAATTTTTATGTTTATGAATATGAAATTTACAAAAGGTTAATAAATGCATTTCAAACTAGTATATGTTTACTTTAGTTTCTTAGATTCTGTTATTAAAAGAAATAAAAAAATATTTCAGAGTGAAGGAAATCAAATTCAATTATATGGGCAAGTTTTGTACCAGTGTTAGAATATTTTTTATATTAAATATTGTAAATGGTAAAAATATTAAGAAGTGGTATTATTTTTTAATCCCTCAATTTATTACAAGTAATTTATGATTATAATTTAAAAGCTAAAATTAAATTATCATAATGAGTAAATTTTGTACCAATGGTAATAATACAACAATCATCGTAAATGATGATTTGTGTGAAAAATCCGAACAGTCATTGGAATCCACTAGTGGTGGAGTGATAGCCACTGAACAGTGGTAGTTCAGGCTGGCTATATGGGAGTTTTAGTAGTTTTCCGTAGATGTAATGTAATCTGAGCCAGTTTCTCTTAAAAGTACTTTATGAAGGCATCCTTCTTCTGCTAGCCAGCATATGTATTTATTTCTATTCATAATTCTCTCTTATTTCTTATATCTTAATTCTAAATCTTACTTCTAAGAGAAGAAGTGTTGCATATATAGGTCGAAAAATATGGTCAATATGTTTGCAAAATCCTGTCAGTTTTGGAAAGCATTTAAATAAACTAAATAATTTGTATGTGATGCAAACGAAAATGCATTACACTATTCATGTAGTGAATATTAATCAGGGAACAAAGATATGTAACGTTCCTTTATTTGTAACCAAGTTATTTTATGCTTGGGATCTTACTCTCATTTCTCCATCCGTTTTCTCACCAGAATCCAAATGAAGTTTTTAAAAACCGTTTTTGCCTTTTGAGGCCACATTAATAGGTTGCTAGATAAGAAAAGATTTGTAGTCTTCAGCCTTGCATTATAATTGCTGATAGTTGAATTCCATGCCAGTTAAGTTTTTAACCAACTTTGCATTAAATTGATTTGTGCAGACTTTGGGCTACAAATTTATTCGAATTTAAATTTTACATCTGAACTTAATTGTTATCATAAGTTATCTTGCCACAAGTGGTTGACCGAGTCGTAAGTACAAAGTGTGCCTTCTGTTCTGTACATCTAAACTTTATAATAGAATAAAAGTATATCTTAACTTAATAAGAATATATCTAAACTTTATGACATTGAAATCAGTATCTAAGTGCTTGCCATGTAGTCAAATTTTTATATATAAATTGTACTCATACTTTTATTATAGAGTTTTTATTACAAAAAATTCAGATTTCTGTTAGATAAAATGTTTAAGTAATGTAAAAATTTGCATAAAATTTAAAATAAAAGTCGACTGTTATGTCAACATACATTAATAAAAGTAATAATACTCAGTGAAGGTTATTCATATACAGCTGTTTTAGGTTGTAAGATTTACAAAATTTGAGAACTCTAAATTATAAGCAACATATTCCATAATCTAAGCAACATTATATTTTTTATAGTCAGACAAATTATGAAAATGTTATAAAAGCAATAATGAAACCTGGTTTTGGTCCTGATTTGAACCTATGAATTCATTGCAATTACATATCCCTATAGTTCTAATATGAGGTAATAAGTATTTTTAGACCTTGGTAATTTTGATCTCCTTAGCAAGGAAACACCAAGAGTTTACCTCATGCTACTAAAAATGTTTTTCTTTTTTTTTTTTTCCTTGGAAGGGGGTGGAGTTTATAATATGCAGAGTTGACACATAAAAAATGTCAAGACTCATGTGATGTAATATTAAAGCACCAGTTTTCAACTATCAAAAATTTGGCTTTTTTAAAAATATTTTAAACTGTTGTGCTTTCCTAACACAAAGTAACTTTAAGAAAAAACACACAATTTTATCCCTCCTGCCACAAAGCTCTGATACCTATCAAATTCGTTACGTGGACAGAAATGGCGGCATTTTGAAGCTCAGTATTTAGGGTTACGGTTATCATAATTTTTCATTTATCGTTCCAAAATGTCGCCAAACAAATTTCTCGCCAAAAAGGACTAGTACTAAAGCTGTGCCAACTAGAGAAATGATAATTTTATGCGATATTCAAGTGAATAGTATTTATGCTGGGTTTTTATCCGCAGAGAACCCGTTGGCGCTTCGGGAAAGAACCCGTTAGCGCCGTTGCATTTTTACTCGCCAAGCTCGCGGTTCATCGACGATGATCCGAGCCGTAAACGTGATTTTTAGTGCATGTAAATTCAAGTTACAGATAAAAACAATATATTAAGCATATTGTAGTAAAAATTCACAGATAATAAGCATGTAGATTAAAACTAACCGATTAAACGGGATATACGAAAATTATTAAATTCAGTTAGCACAAAAAAGAATTTTTGTAAACGTGATATTTTGTAAACATAACGTAAACGTTCTAAGAACCATGAGTTTTCCATAAAGTGCTTCCTTTATGCTGAACAAAAAAAAAAAAAAAAAAAAAAAAAAAAAATTGTGTGTTAAAATGAGGGAATACTAGTATAAAAAATTTCAATTTTTTAAAAATATTTTAAATGTTAAGAATAACGCTGAGTAATAAAATTATTTCTGTTGAACTGCTATAACAAGGTAGTGGTCTATTAAAAATTTTGTATGAACAGATTTTATTATATGTTAATTTATCTCAAAATCACCACCATATTATTTTGAATATTTCAAATTTATGTTATCCAAAATTTGTGATTTCCTTAATTGCCAGAGTGAAAAATATTATTTTAAAATATTTCAAATTTATTTTAATGATTTCATTAAATATAATGAAAATTAAAATGTGTGATTTGGTTTTTAGAAATTTTCTGTGATATCAATTTTTTTAACCTTTGATGAAATTACTTACTAACGAAATGTTATACTTTTATGTTCTAAATTTCATAAACAGTGCAAAAATTTAAAGTATTAATTTCTTAAAAATAACCTGTTTAATGGTATTTAAATGGTTTATTTAAATCTGTTTAATGGTATATACATAATAAAAATAAAACTGGGTGATTTATTAATTATGAAATGCATGTGCATATAGCAAATTTATGAAGTAGAATATTATCATTTCTTAACTGTGTAGTGGTTCACTGTGTAATGTTTATTTTATATGTTTCATGAAAATAATCAATCAAATATGTTTGATGGTCTTTATTCCCCCTAGTTAACATGTTAATACTAATTACAATGATACGTAAATTTAAAAAAAAAAATTTAAAAAGTTAAATTTACATATCAATGTAACTATATTAACTGCTTCTTAAAATTTAATTTAAGTTCGATTCTCTCCCCCTTTTAATAATGAATATTTGGAAACTTAGTTCTGTTATTTGCATCATTCTGCTGTAAATTTGTTACCTATATTTTTTTTCTTAAAAGCTGCACGAAGATAATCATCTGCAGTTGTAAATAGAAGTGGGTGAGACACTAGAAATTCATCCTAGTAATATAGGTGTAGCCCCACCACACTAACACTGAAGTTTTGCCTCAAATTTGATGATAAAGAACACTCAAGGAATGCGAGGGTCTACCACCCCTCTTTCCTTACCATATTGAGAGGACTTGGCTTGTCAGTATTCATG